AGGCCTCAACGTTTAGAAAAGCCACATAATTAGATCTGGCTCAAAGGACAAGCAAGATTTCTTGGAGAAGGTAGCATCTGAGATGGATGCTGATGATCACAGAAGGAAGAAAGAGGAGGCAGAGTGCTGCTCTCCAGGCACAAAGAAGAGCCTAAGCAAAGCCACTGAAAGAGGAAAGTTAGGATCCTTCAGGTATTCTAGTTTGGCCCCAAGAATGCTTAGTATGGCATCTTATGAACAGTAGGTACTTGATATGGTTTGGTTGTGTCCCCACCCAAATCTCATCTTGAATTGTAGTTCCCATAATCCCTACATGTCACAGGAGGGACCCAGTGGGAGGTAAATTAATCATAGAGGAAGTTACCCTCATGCTGTTCGTGTGATAGTGGGTGAGTTCTCACAAGATCTGATGATTTTATGAAGGGCTTTTCCCCCTTTTGCTTGGCACTTCTCCTTGCTGCAGCCATGTGAAGAAGGATGTGTTTACTTCCCCTTCTGCCATGATTGTAAATTTCCTGGTGCCTCCCCAGCCATGCTGAACTGTGAGTCAATTAAACCCCTTTCATTTATAAATTACCCATTCTTAGGTATGTCTTTATTAGCAGCAAGAGAACAGACTAATACAGTACTCAGTGCATGCTGGTAGGTAGGTACTTTGGGTGGCACTGATTAATTAACAATCTACAGGAACCAAAGAGTCTGTGAGAACCTCATATTCACACACACAAGCATACATACAAACTCCAGAACAACAGACATTTCCAAAAATGGGACTCCAGTCTCTAGCAGCTTACAGAGACACTAATTGTAGCATTATTCTTTCAGAATAATGGATCTAAGCATGTTTTTGGTCTAACAATGCTTTAAGAATGTGTGTTCAATAAGTGTTCCTAGGATATTAATAACTAGTACATGGAAAGCGGTTCTGTGCTCAGATTCACCTGAGGAAACGCTGAGGTAGGTGAGATTTAATTGGTATACATTCCACAGTACTTCTTAGAGATTCTGAGATGCTATGCCAAAGAGGAGTGGGATGTTATTATCATTTCCTAAATACATTTGACCATAGAGTCTTTTTTTTAATGGAGGCTCTCATGGAATAAGTATTTCATAGACCACTCTATGACTTATATGAGTTATGTGCAATTATAGACAATATAGAAAAACACAGTTTGCCTAAATGATGAAGACAGGTCTCAAACAGTGGATCGTCAGCTATCAGGAACTCTTGAAGATGCTTGATGTGTCTACTCCCTTTTTCACTCACCCTCCCTTTTACCGCATCCTACTCCATTGACTACGGTTAATAAAAGCTGATGCTTACTGAGCCCGCACTATGTGTCAGGCTCTATTTTAAGTGCTAGAACCCTCACAATAAGCCTTCAAGGTCGGCACTAGTATTATTATTATTCTGTTTATATAAGTTAGGCAACTTGAGGCACTGAGAAATTAAGGAATTTCCCCACTGCCACCTGAATGGTATGTGGTGGAGCCAGTGTACAACCCAGGCAGAGCTAAGGCTCCTGGCAACCACACAAGCTTCTTATTCAGAGAAAGAGAGAGAGGGAGAGGGAGATCACATGATGGCTCCTCCCTCTTTTATCTACTGCCTATGTTGGGTTTAGTTCTCTAATACTCTACTCTCTCATCAACCTCCCCACCCACCCAACCTTCAATCTTCCATCCAGTCTTCAGAGAAAGGGGAGTCACTCTTCCATCACACATGATTCCCGTTAAGATAATTAACACCTCATGATTCCGATTAAGATAATCTCCATCTGGCCATGTGGTGTTTTGTTTCCTTATTCTTGATGGTGAAACTTCTTTCCAAATATCTCATTCAGCAATTCCACTTTGATGAGAGAAATCACAAGTTCCAGAAAGAAGCAGATTATATATCCAGTGTTAGCAATCACTCTAGGCAGCACAGTGTGACAGAAAATCAACATACATCACCTGTATTGGGTTGAAATTTCTTCTGATAAGGAGGAACTTTCTCTTAGCTGAGATTTCTCTAAATTTCCTTCCTAGCCTCCAGGATAATAGCCCCAGGTTATTACTCTAGCCCTCCTCTAACCTCAGCAGTCTGTCCAAATTTTTACTACTTTTTTTCCTAAAAAGGAAAAAAAAAGTCCCTTTGGCTTCTCCCTCACCTTCCCTCATCAAACATCGCCTTTTAGTCATGCTTGGGTGCCCCTGATCTCCACTCCAAACCTCTTTCACCTCATTTCTCTTTCTCTCATTACAGATTCATCTCTTCTGCTCTCTGCCTCCCACTGCCATGTGACAAATCCCTTTTAAAATAGCACCAGTGACTCACCCGGCGGATACTGTATTCCATTTATATGTACCTTTTTTATTTTCCAAGGGGCATAAAGAGTTTCACAGAAATGCAGACTTATTTTTACCTTGTTCTTGTAAAAGAAGTGTCTATAAGAAGGGAATAAAAATGTAGTTTGGGATTTTGTCTGAATAACTTGATTATTAAGGCTGATAATCAGGTTTTCACTTTCCCAGGTTATTTCTTCTCCTCATCTCCCCATCCTTGGTGCTTGTTACTTTCTTCAGGATTTATTAGTAGCCTCACCAGAATTTAGACCTTAGTCTTACCAAGAGTTGTGCTGTTTCGGAACCAGTCACCCATGCTGGAACCCTCAGAGCCGGCTCCAGCCCTCCAGCTGGTTCATGCCCATTGCCATTGGGTAAACAGGCCACTCCAGCACTATCTTGGGGCCTTTACCTCTATTTTCATTGTCACCACCTGACTCCAGCCAGCATCTCCTCTAACCTGCACCAAGGCAATGATCGCCTAATGGTTCCCACTGCCCTCAACCATTTTCCTACAAATTGTTATTCTCCACCTCACATCTGACCATGCTGCAAACTGGGTGCCTCTGTCTAAGATCCCATTCTTTGTCATGGTACTCAGGCTTTCCCAGTCTGGCCTCAAGCTACCTTTCCTCTATAATCACTGAGCCCTATAACACACCCATCCTGGAAACAAGCAGCTTCCCTACATGTGCCTTCATTTCCCGACCTCCGTGCTTTCATTCATTTAGCCCCTCTGGCAGGAGTGCCCACCCTGGTCTTTTCCTGGCAAGCTCTTCCTCAGGTTCAAAGGTACCTTTTCAGCTAAACTTTTCCTAACTTCCCCAGGATGGACTTAAATATACAGAAGACTATATTCCTATAGCTTTTTATGCTATAGTAGAGCTATACATATAAGGTAGAGATACATATAAGGTCGTACCTATCACAAAAATGTATTGGAAGGCTATGATGTCCCAGGCACTAGGTGCATAGGCATCAAATTATAGTCTTTAACCTACTTCTAAGTAAGACAGAAAATAAAGCCAAATAAATGGTATTTCAGGGTGAAATAAGCAGTAATAAAGATGAGCCTCCTTCTTCCTCTGGGTGGTTAGCTCCAAGTGCGTTCCCACGGATCCAACCTTAGCTTAGCCAATGAATAATGAAAGTAATAAGGTGATTTCCACCAATGCTGTTTTCTCCTATCCAAGCGCTGGCTCTATACAACCAAGGAAATTGGTGAAAGGAGTCACTGGCCCAAGGCGTTTGGCATTCACAGCTGAGCCACATCTTGAGTCACGCAGTCATGCATAACTAATGTGCTCCCTGGCTAAGCAGTAAAGACTCACGAAGTAAAGGTTAAAAAGTTGTTGCACCATGCCAGGCCAAGTTCAGAAGTCACCAGGTCCAGAGCCTCCTCCCAGTTGGCTTCCTGACTCCTGTCGTGTTCTCTACACCCCGTCTTCCACCTGGCAGCTGATGTCATTTCCCACAGCCTTTAAAACGAAGTACATGCTCTTTGGACTGGCAGGCAAGGCCCTTCATAATATCTCCTCTGCCTCCCTCATACCACCTTTTGCATCCACTTCTTAACCTCTGCGCTGTCCCTTGGTCATATTAAACTACTTGCATTTCCTTTAATTCATCAGGATTTCTCTTACCTGCAGGCCTTTGCCAGTGCAGCTTGTTCCCTTTGCCTAGAATGCACTGAAACCTTCCGCATAACTCTGACTCATCCTTCTGGTCTCAGGATAAAGGCTATTTTTAAAGGGAAACTTATGCCTACCCTTCCTTCATGCTAAGATCTGGACAGCCTTGCTCCTGTGTGTTCAACCCTCACATGCTCTGCTTTCTCCATCATTGCACATATCACACTGCATTGAAATCATTTGCTTACTTGTGTGTTTCCCCAGTGTAAACCCCCGGAAGGTAAACACCTAAGGTTTCATCATTGCATTCCAGTGCCCAGCCAAGAATGCATTAGGCATGCGTAAGTATGTACTGGTGGAGTGAGTTCACGTAAAACTATGAAGACAAGGTCAGGTTTTCCTATTTAGGGGCAGATAGAACAGGACGTATACATCATCAGCTACTTGGATAGTAAAACCCTAAGCATGAAACAAATTAGCAATTTAAATAGCATACAAGACAGCATGAATCTGTTATACAAGAAAGCATAACTTATATAAAGGTAGTGAGATTATTGTCCAATTAAAAAGGTGTTGATTTTTACTTAAAGTTACTTTATATCAAAATTCTAATTTTTGCTAATGAGGCTAAAAAAGGATAAGTTGTGTCATTCTATTCCTTTAAGAGGAAACCAAAATAAAACACAGAAAAAAAAAAAAAGTTGAGTGAAGCAACTTTTTGAGTAGTGGACCCTCAGAATGGGAACCCAATGACAACTGGATCATTTTCTCCCTTCTTCTATAAACAGAATTCTATTGTAGAGACAAGTTGAAATAGATCTCAAATTGTTGCCACTGTCACAGCTGTAACCTGTGACGCGTGTGTAAAGAACCATTACAAGCTGGAATCTAAGAGTGATTAATATAGCTTCCACCCCTGGTAAACACTAGCCGGAATCTCTTCCATTACGGTTACCATCAAAAAGAGGTACAGGTAGGACAGAAATCAAACACAAATGATACACTACCTTTCCCTACATACAATGAATAGCCTAGGAAATTATTCTTAATAATAAATATTTATTCATTAGAACATATAAGTGAATGCAGAAGGCATTTAAAAGAAAAATACAAAAGAATAATTGTATTCATGCAGTACTTTCATAAAAAGTGAGCATAAACTCAGTCCATGAATGTATAAAGTGAAATGAGCTGGCTGGCTGGAGAGAGGGTCATGGTGCCAGAGGCTACACAGTCATGGTCACAGCTGTATTGGTTGATTGCTGGGTTCCTGTTGGCTTGGTCTGGGTCATGTTATTTGTGGTCTTGAACTTCCTGTCCAGGGTCTTGACCATGTCATTCACCCACCTGGCTTGTGAATCAGCACAGACTTTTAGGCCACGTTTGGTAATAAAACTGTAATACAAGGAAAACATAAATGAAGTTAGCCACATTCTCAAAGCCTCAGGGCCAGGAGTTAAGATCAGAGCAGACATGAAGAGATCTTGTGCTGAAATTACTGCAAGAAACAGTCTTTCTGAGCCATGAAATCATAAATGAGGACCCTTCTTCTGCCATCTATTTTAACATAAAGCAGAAATATCTGCAAGTAATATCCAGCCCCTTGTTGACCATAATTCACAGGCTCATTTTCTCATCCATGTCACCAAATGTAACAAAAAGCCTTTGAGGCTATCTAGTTCTATTATTACATATTCTCTTCCTTTTCAAATTCAAAAATACTCATCTTATTTTTTGAATAAAAGGTGATTGTTCAATTTTCATATCTTAGAGTAAAGCTTGCCATTATGTGTTGGGAGGAGTTATTAGTTCTCAAAATGAGATTCTGGTAGAAGAAAGTCATCATATAGGTTGTCCATTGACTCATTTTCTTGAAATATGCAACTGACAAAGCATGGCACTCGGCCTAACTCAACCCTAAGAACCACCCCCACTCCAGTGCAGCCTGCAGGGAAACCCTGAATGGGCCAGCCATCTCTAAACCCAGCCCTCAGAGCTGTGCACAGTATTCATCCGACTCTTCTGCTAAGCTAAATAGAGGCAGACTTCTATTCTTTATTTGGCAGCCAAACTTTTGCAATAATCTCTATTTGGTTGGGCTGCATAAAGACATGACTGATAAGGAAAAATAAAGAGGTTATTGGTTAAGTTGAGGTGTTCTTCCATGTTAGCCTTCTTTTCCTGAGGAGGGCAGCATTTCTATGAACTACATTTCTATACCTCTAGTTATCCACCCAGCCCAGCTTCTGAGGAGGGAAACTCACATTACTGCTTTGAAGGAGCCTTCCTTGATGGTGTAGGTCTTGATTCTGTTAATTGGCAGTCGCTGGGTAGTGAGGCTCACACAGACACTCTTATCTGAGACTTCACTCCCTATACCTGGTGAGCGAAAAAAATACCAGACAATTAAAAATAAAGCAATTATCAAGATCATAGGAACAATCATCTGTTAAATTACTCTGAGAATGTGAGACTATAAGTCCATTTGCTTTTGGGGGGAAGATTTGACTCATAGGCATCCTGAATCTCTTGCCCATGATAGATTCTTAGTAAATAGTTGACTAATTTAAAAATTCAATCAATATAATTGTTTCAGGAATTTCATGCTGAGAGACGTTAACAAGGTATTATCCCGTGTCTGTGTACATTTTCACTTAGACTCTTGGAACGGCTAGCAGTCGCTCCAGTGACATTCATTCTTTTATACAACAGTGCTGATTGTGTCCCACATGTTTTATTAAGACAGATGTTATATTGTTTTCATAGAGCACATCTTCTAATGAGGGAGCCAGGCAACAGACAGGTAAACAGAAAAGATCATCTCAAATAGTGAAATATGTTACTATAAGTGAGAGACTAATGCGTGAAGAGTAATCTAGGCAAGGCAACATTTAGTGGGGGAGGGAAGCTTGTTTTTCACTGACTAAATAAAGGTGTTCTCATTCTAAATGGTAAACGGTCTCCATTCGCCATCCTCCCAAGATGCTGAAAAGAAAGAAGGTCAAAGGAAAGAAGGTGACCCCAGCCCCTGCCATCGTGAAGAAGGGCATTGGACAGGACATCCAGCCCAAAAGGGACCTCACCTGCTTAGTGAAATGGCCCCACTATATCTGGTTGCAGCAGCAAAGAGCTATCCTCTATAAGCAGTTGAAAGTGCCATCTGCAATTAACTGGTTCACCCAGGCCTTAGACCCCAAACAGCTACTCAGCCACTTAACCTGATCCACAAGTACCAACCAAAGACAAAGCAAAAGAAGAAGCAGAGACTCTTGGCCCAGGCTGAGGAGAAAGCTGCTGGCAAAGGGGGTGTCCCCACTAGGAAACCACCTGTCCCTTGACCAGGTGTTAGCACCATCACCACCTTGCTGGAAAACAAGAAGGCTCAGCTGGTAGTGATTGCACATGGCATGGACTCCATCAAGCTGGTTATCTTTCTGCCTGTCCTGTGTCCTAAAATGGGGTTCCCTTACTGCATTATCAAGGAGAAGGAAGGCAAGACTGGGACATCCAGTCCACAGGAAGTACCACTGTCACCATCACACAGGTTAACCAGGAAGACAAAGAAGCTTTGGCTAAGCTGGTGGAAGCTATCAGGACCAATTACAATGATGGATATGATGATATCTGCAGTATCCTGGGTCAAAAATCTGTGGCTCACATTGCCAAGCTGGAAGTAGCAAAGGCTGAAGAACTTGCCACTAAACTGGGTTAAATGTACACTGTTGAGTTTTCTGTACATAAAAATAATAAAAACTCTCCTTCAAAAAAATTAATAAATGGTAAAAGGTAATATTATATATATATTTATACATATAAATGTATATATAAAGGAAGTCGGCCCTAAAATATTCATCCCCAGTAGTAATGGCCCAAGGGGAATTAAACTATTAAGTTTAGAGAACCATTTTACATTGCAAAAGGAAAAATAACTTGGGAGAATTAATACTGTTAAGGGTTGGGCAAAATCTAATCAAAGTTTCTAAGTGCTGATTTTCTCCTTAGCTATAGACACTGGCCTTTGCTTCCTAGAGAAATAGACAGCTAAAAAGCATCTAAAGTAACCACTGATAACCACCAAGTTTGCTCTGTCGTGTTGCTATTATCAGAAGGCATTTTTTTAAAGCATGGAACTAAACAAAGAGTGTTCACGGATGTTGCTTTTCCTCATCATTCCTTTTCCTTTCCTTCGCTCCCAGTGCCAGTCAGCACATTCCTACCGTCTACCTTTGCCAATTTATTTTTAATGCTGAATTGTTTCTGAAGCCAGTGAAAGAGGAAAAATCTGGGCTTTAACAGTATTTCTCCCTGTGAAGTATCTAACATGAACTCCCAAGACTGTATACTTGAAACCACAAAGACTTTTCCTTATTCTCAGCAACGTTTGTGTGTCTATGCTGTTCTTTAAAACATCACCTTCTCTCAGGTTGCAGAGTTGAGTCAAAGCAGAGACTGTTTTGCCTTACTTCTGTACATAAGAAGCTAGGCACCAGTGAGACTTATTGAGCTCCCTCAAATAGAAAACTTGGGAATCTGACAGCAGTGTCTGCAGTTCCTCTCAGGCTCTAACAGAGCTTCCTTCCCCCCACTCAGACCTGAGTCTCCCTCAAATGGTATGCCCATTGTCTTAGCAAAATGCATGTCGCCTAGTGTAGTAATCAGATTTTTTGTATCATTAATTTTTTTTGTTTGGCACACAATTTCAAGGACTTCCAGCCACCTTTATTCATGGACTCCCTTGTGGACCCATGATTAAATTATATATCACAGTCCAAAGGGTAAGTCTATCAGTTAGAGCACAAATAAGTTGACAAATTTACTCCAGTTGTAGGAAAAAGTAATCCTTCAAGAAATATCTACTGAATGCTCAGGTAAGGGCTCAGTATATCTAAATCTTACCTGGATGTGTCTTGCAGGTTTATTGAACTGTGTGTAAGGTGCTGATCTATTTGTTAGTATTTATTATAATATGGTCTCTTACAAATCCAGAAAATTTCTCATAAATAGTAATATTCATGGTAGCAATAACAGAATCCCCAATGTACTTTAAGGTAATATTGATTTTCTGGGTATGAAGGTTTGAATTTCCAGCCATTCGGGGCTTAGTTTTGTGTTGAAAATTGATTTGCTCCAGAACATACAGCCTCTAGTGCATCCCCACATTGTGACTGAACTCTCAAAGATTCTGATGATTTATCAAACTATATATTAAATAGACAAAAGATACAAATGCATTTATAATCATCACCTCTAATCCAGAGCTAACGTTAATTAACCAATTACGGTTTGTAAGGAAATCTGATGTTATTAAATGAATAAATAAGCCATAATATTTATTTAAACTTAATCTCAGGTGATCACATCTCTTATTTTATTCAATTTATACATAAATAGGCACAGGCCCTGAATGGTTAAGAAATTTACCCCTAATTATCCAATTAGGAAAAGTAGGAGCCCAGATACTAACCAAATTCTCCCTGTTCTGGGAGTTTACAATGGCCCCTACAGTCAAAACCATCATTCCTGTTTTGCACATGTGAAGTTTAAGGTTCATCTGGGAAAAGCCATTTACTCCAGTCAAAACCTGAGTCAAACCCAAAGTGTGTGCCCACCTGCCTTGCCTCCCTGTCCTTTAACTTACAGACAGCCTCTCGACTTACCTTCCGCAATGTACGCAGTAAGACAGCAGATGCCAAGGAGGGCCAGGATGAGAAGTCTCATGGCTGAGGTCCTGCTGAGCTGTTCAGGGAGAGAGTGAGGATCAGGCTCTTTGAGGACCTCTTATATTCCTCCAATGGTCAGCACACTTCCTGTAGTGAGAGGGGGCTTTCAACGTGGGTGTAGGATCATGGAAAATCTTTGCAATACTGATGCTTTCATTTTTCTTTAAAAAAAAGTCCCTCTTCCTTGTTCATACTAACCTTGCGGCCTTTGCCCCTTCGCCTGTGGTTAATGTGTCAATGAAACCAAATGTATGCATAAAAGAAAACGTGGTTGTGTTGTCTCCTGCCACCAGTCTGAATATAGATCTTCTGCCGTAGACATGCCTGAAGGCTGTTCACTGTCATGGCCCAGCACGGAAACTGTAAAGGAAATGAGGTGGGGTGGTCTCTGTGTTCTATCCCACCTCATGTGACATCCAGTGTGACATGGGTCTTCCACAACCATGGATCATGAGCCCCTGGTGCCACCCTTTGACTCTCTCAGGAGGTGAAGAGAGGCTGCTGCCACACTGAGTTTCTCAATCCTTTGCTTTCTTTTTTCTCCACCACCCTTATTCAAGTTATTCCCCTTTCGTCAAACCAATCTCCCCAGGTACCCAAGAAACAATTAAATAATGGCTTGAGCATGTCTATATGCATATATTTGCTTTATTACAACTGAACACACACACTTATAAAAGCTTTCTAAAAGTTGTGCTATACCTACTTATTTCAAATAAAAAAGAAAATTATAATCTTACCATCTGGTGTTTTCATTTCTAATATTTTTCCAGTGACTCTGTATTGGCATACATGTGTTCTCATAATTGTGGTCATTTTAAATATTGTTTTAATACCAATTTAAATATCTTCCCTTTTTTAGCCTTCGTGTTTCTACTTTGAATAAATATATACACATACACATTAAACATTTTCTTATAACTTATTAAAAAATCAGAACTATAAGGTTGATTTCCTTAATATACACTGAATTACTTCCCTTTAATAGCCAGGAGTAGGATTACTGGGTAAAATGATATGATCATCTTTATAGCTCTTATTATATATTGCCATATAGTCTCCCCAAAATGTAATTTTAATTTGCAATGCTCCCAGTAGGATTCAAATATACTGACTGCACTGGAACTTTTCAGTCACTGAGTCTGTATAGTGGTTGTTCTTTATTTTACATAGGTATCTATAAAATGTATTTATTAAATATATGTGTAGTTAAAGGTTTTGTCATTGCTATTAGGAATATGAAAATAAATTCCTACATTTTCATAAAAGTTATAGGTTAACCTCTAAGAGACTTTCCACTAATCGCATTTGATTTTTCAGACTTTATTCTAAATTTCAAATTGGCTCTTTAATGATTTCTACCTTGCTACACAATCAGTCCTTGAGCTCTGGACACATCTTCCATTCAAACTGCTTCTCCTTGTATTACTCCTTAGCATGGAGTAATGTGTTCTCTTCCATTTAATTTCCAAATACAGCTATAAAGGGACCATCTTAGACTCATTGCTATCCACCCACATGTCATTCTCAGCCAGACTGGACTAAGTCTATCTTCTAAGTAGTTCTTCAAGATGTCTCCTCCTTTCTTCCCATACTGCTCAAATGTTAGGCCAATTGCAGTGGACCAACCGGTTTCCCAGACCAGGATCTCCTCCATTCTAATCTATTATCTGCAGCTTTGCCAAAGTCATCCCTGTAAAACTTCAATTTAATCATGCCATTTCCCTACTGAGAACCTCTTTGCTAATTTCTGTTGCCTACAGGATTTATTTCAAATCTTTCATTGTCATGTATAAGAATGTTCAAGAACTAGTACTGCTTTTCCCTTCACACTCATCTTCCACCATTCACTCACACACTCCCAAACCTTAACAAACACATACATGTGCAGTCAACCCTATGGGCCAGCCTCTTTTATGCTTCTCATACCTCACACATTGTTTCCTTTAACTGAAATGCCCATGAAAGTTCCCTACACAGTTACTTGTAAACTCCTCCTCTCTGTATAAGTTTTCCTGAATTTTTTAGATAAAATTAAGTTGTGCCACCCCTTTATGCTCTCTTAGAACTTTGTTCTGTTCTCAAGGCTGTTGTGCAACTAATCTCATTGTGTTCTACTCAATTACATTCCTGTATCTCCCACTAGATGGCAGGCTCCTTGAGAGTAGGAGATTCCTTTGTTATCTCTGGATCCCCTGGCACTTGCAGAAAGCCTGGTAGGTAATAATCGCTCAACAATTAGTTTTTATATAAATGAATTATATTTAAAAGGCCAAAATTACAATGATTGTGTATTAAGTGAAAGATGACCATCTAAAAACATAAAGCCATTCTCCATGATATTGGTCTAGGCAAATAAAGGAAACAAAGGCAAAAACAGACAAATAGAATTGCATCTAACTAAAAAGCTTCTGCACACCAAAGGAAACAACAATCGACAGAGAGAGAAGACAACTTATGAAATGGGATTAAATGTTTACAAACTATACATCTGATAATGGGTTAATATGCAAAATATATAGAGAACTCAAGCAACTCATTCGCAAGAAAACAACACAATTTTTAAATGGGCAAAAGACTTGAATAGACATTTTTCAGAATAAAACATGCAAATAGCAATAAGGTATATGATAAAAAGTCCAACATCATTAATCATCTGGGAAATTTAAATTTTAAAAAAACATAATGAGGTATCACCCTACACCTGTTAGAATGGCTGTGATGGAAAAAGCAAAAGATAACAAGTGTTGGCAAGGATTGGAGAAGAGGGAACTCTTGCACACTGTTGGCAGGAATATAACTTAGTATAGACATTATGGAAAACAGCAGAGGTTCCTCAAGAAATTACAAATAGAACTACCATACGATCCAGCACTTTGGATATATACCACTGCTATATATATATTATGCTATATATATATCCACTTTGGATATATACCACTACACATTATGGAAAACAACAGAGGTTCCTCAAGAAATTACAAATAGAACTACCATGTGATCCAGCACTTTGGATATATAGCACTACTGGGTATATAGCCAAAGGAAATGAAATAAGTATATCAAAGAGACATCTGCACTCCCATATTTATTGCAACATTATTCATAATAGCCAAGATGTCAAATCAACCTAACTAGATAAAGAAAATGTGGTACATATACACAATAGAGTACTAGTCAGCCAAGAAAGGGGGGAAATCATTAATTTGCCAAAACATGGATGAGCCTGGAAGACATTATTTTAAGTGAAATCAGCCTGCATGATCCCATTCATATGTAAAATCTGAACAAGTTGATTCCATAGAAACAGAAAATAGAATGGTGGTTACCAGGTGCTGGGGAGGTTGAAAGGTGTTGGGTTGGGTTAGGGAGATACTGGTCAAAGAATACAGTATTTTAACTAGACAGAAGGAATAACTTCAAGAGATCTATTACACAATGCAGTGACTATAATTAAAAATACATTGTATTCTTGAAAATGCTAAGAGAATGAATGTATTCTCATCACAAAAAAATGATGGCTATGTGAGGTAATGTATATATTGATTGGCTAGGCTTAGTCATCCCACAATGTATATATGCTTTAAAACATCGTTTTGTACACAATAAATACATACAATTTTATCTTTCAATTCTTTAAATAAAATAAAATTAATAAAAAGAAGTAAAAAATAAAGGCGTGAACTCTGGAGACTGTGCTTGAGGCTTTCTCCTGTTTTCAATCAAATTGACAATTTGAATAATGGCTGAATTTTTATTTAGCATACTGACATGGAATTTGTTAAACTCTCAGAATGAACTGTTCACTTTCAGTTTGTCAAAGCATACACTAGAATCTCTTTTGGGGAAGAATAAAATAACAGACAAAAAGCAGAAACCAAGTGCAAAGTGGGCATGACCTGCTAATGGGTGGACATTGGTTGACAACAATCAGTTGAGGGATACTTGTCATAATGAATATTTTTTATCCTTGACTCCTCTCCTTCTCATAGATGTTACACCCAATCAGCAAATACTATGGGCTCTCTATCTTCAAAATAGAACCTAAACAGTTCTCACTACCCACAAACCACCCTATGCCAAGCCACCATCATCTCTCACTTGGATTAGTGGAGTCATGCAATAGCTTCCTGACGGGTCTTTCTGCTTTCACCTTTGCCTCTTCCTCCTTTGCCTCAAGTGACCACATCTACCAAGGTGACCATTCGAAAATGTAAGTCACATCATGTCATTTCTCTACTCAAAATCCTTCGATGGCTGTCCATTCTTACGAGTTAAATTCAAAGTCTTTGCAAGGGCTTACAAGTACCTATGCCCTATGCTTGACTCTCTCATTCACTCTCTGACAACCTCCCCTGCTGTTCTTTACCCCTCTTACATCACTGTAGCTATGTGGCCACCTTGTTTCTCAGACATGTCAATTACACTCCTGACTCCAAGTCTTTGCATTTACCCATTCCCTCTGCCTGATCCTCTCTTCCCTGAGATGTAAGCATGACTGAAACCCTCACCTCCTTCAATTCTTTGCTCAAATGCTTTCTCTGATCACACAATTTAAAACTTTGTAAACATGCCCATTCTGGTATCATTTGATCTATTTTTGCTGTTCTATTCTCATTGGTATCTTCAAATATAACAATTTGCTTATTGATTTTTTTTAATGTCTGTCTTTCTCCAGGAATATTTTATCTTTTTCACTGCCGTTTCTTCAGATTCCTGTACAATACCTGGCATAAAAGAGCTGCTCAATTTCTATATCCAGAATAAATGCAAGTATATGTGGTGTGTAAGTGCAAGAGTGTGTAGGCAGGCATATGCATGTGTAAACATCAACTTTTTTTTTTTTCTGAGACAGAGTCTCACCCTGTTGCCGGGCTGGAGTGCAGTGGCACAATCTCAGCTCACTGCAACCTCTGATTCCCTGATTCAAGCAATTCTCCTGCCTTAGCCTCCCGAGTAGCTGAGACTACAGGCACGTGCCACCATGCCCAGCTAATTCTTGTATTTTTAGTAGACAGGGTTTCACCATGTTGGCCAGGATGGTCTCGATCTCCTGACCTCATGATCCACCAGCCTCTGCCTTCCCAAAACATCAAAATTTATATCTGCAAAGTCTAGTGCTCTGGAATATCAACTCTGCTCATGCATGTGTGACCACACAGTGGAACGGGAAAATCAATTTTTGAAGGAAAGCATTCATTGTTGAGGGAAGAGGACAGAAACATGAGGGGTACAAGTAAAAGAAACTCAATGTCTTCTCTTTCTTATGCCTTTCTGGTCTGAATATCTTAATTCATCTGAAAAGTCACTTTGTATTTCATCATACATAATGTATAATCCAAATAAAGAACTCTTCTTCTATAGAACATGTTTGTATAATTTTCCAATTTTTCTATTAGGCAATGTATCTTTTCCTGATTGGTATGTAAAGAATCTTTATATATTTGCCTCACTAATTATTTGTCATAGGTGTTGCAGTATTTTCTCAGTTCATAGTATGTCTTTCACTACATTTATGATGTCTTTGATGAATAAAAATACATAATTTTAATATAGTTTAATTTGTACTATTTTATTTTGTGGTTAATGATTTTTGTACTTTAATAAATTCTTCCTTTCTCCAAAGTCAGAAAGAGATTTACCTCTATTTTCTACTAAAAATGTTAAAGTCTTGCATTTCACATTTAAATTTTCAATTTTTCTAGTGTTCATTTCTGTATGGACTATGAGATAGAGATCCAAAGGCTTTCTTTTCTTTACACATCCAACATTTCTAGCTCTGGTTTTTGAATAGTTCTACCTTTTTCTTCAGAAGTATCTTGCCTTAAGCTCACTAGTAATTACAAAAACAAAAGTCAGGACCACAGTGTGACCCTCACCTTCTTCCCATTCAAAGTCGTCAAAATTAAGAACTCTGATAGTAGTACTTTGCAAGGAAATGAAGCAGCACATATTACTTCTGGCTTTGGAAATTGGTATTAACACTTTGAGAAGCAGTTTGGCATTGTCATATAAAGCTGAGCATTTGCATGCCATGAAGATCCAGAAAGCCTGCTCCTAGGTACGTACTTAGAGAATTTCAAAGGAAAGGAGCATTATTAAATGTAAGTTACTTGGAATGTCCAAGTGCCCAAGTTGAAGGTAGGTTAATGGTGACGTATTATACAAAGTAATTAACTGAATAGAAGAAGGTCACATGTAAATTCATGTAGATGATATATAATTGTATCATTCAGATTAGACTAACAAGAAAATCAATGTAGATATTCCCAATCAGTTATCTGTCTTGAATGCTCTCCTCCAGAAAGTGAAACAGGAATTTAGGTTGTTTCCACCTCTGAATAATACCATCTCCTAAAGCCTGGGAGTCTTTTTCTTCCAGCTGCAGGATGAAGAATGAAAGAGTATGGCACACCTACTCTTATCTAAAAGTGACATGTATTCTTTGGTCCCATATAATGGGTGAGAGCCAGTTATCTGGTCCTATCTAGAAGCAAGGACAGAGTGAGAGAATAGAGAATAAAGTTGCATCTGGGAAATGTAATCTAGATCAAAGAGCAGATGAGGTCTAGCATGACCTGTCATAGCAATACAATTATCATTAATCTAATGGTGTGCTTGAGGTTCAAGTTTCTAAAGGGTAAACATAAAGCAAGATTACTGTGATTATTATTTTCTTTGAAACATGCCCACAACATCTCTTAAATTCCACATCCTTTTTTCCCTAAATTAAAATAGTGTTCTTGTATTTTCTCTTAGAAAAACAGTATGATCACTGTAAAGAAAATCCAGGCACTATAGAAAATATTTTTAAGAAAATATAGTTCACCCAAAGTCCACTACCCAGAAATAACCATTTAACCATAATAGATGGACCCTCTTCCAAACAGCACTCTGGGTAAATATACCTATGTATATCATTTCACAATCTTTCTACAGCATTCAATGGGTGTAGATTTATTGTACATTTCCGATGTGTGAGGCTTTCTGCCAAGTACAAAAGGCCATTAACCCATTTATTTAATCCTTAAAAAAATATAATGAAATAAGTAGAACTGTTGTCTACATTTTATAGATGAGAAAATTGAAACTTAAAGAGCTTAAGTAATTCACTAAAAATCACAAAGTTTGGCAATGATAAAGATACAAACCCTGGTCTACCAGACTCCAAGCCCAAGCTACTACACAGTGCCCTATACTGCCAGATATTTTGATACACCACTAATTGATACACCACTCTTGATGGGTCCTTAAATTATTTCCCTTTTTATCCAACCATGGACTACTCAGCAATAAGAATATACATTTCTCTAAACTTTGTATACCTGTCTATATATCTTTGTAGCGTAAGCTCCCTACAGGAAGTTCGCTGAAGACAGTCTCTTACTTTCATACATACTGGTTTCTTTAAAAGGTATACAAAG